CCTTTAAATGTGTCATTCTCTCCATTCATGAAACAGAGGATCTAAGGTGACTGGGCTGATTACCCTAAATGCTGATCTCTGAGTTTTACCTTAAAAGAAAACCTAAGTATGCAATGTCTGAGTCTATTTCCACATGTACAAGCAAGCATAAAGTGATACATTTGTATCTGACAACATACACATCTTAATTTTCTGTGCCTATATTGGGGTAAACCTACTCCCTCCATTGGCCTTGCTGCTGACTAGCACTAATGCACAAAGTTTTAGGTCCATTTTACACAGCAGCAAGTGAATACAAAAGTTCCAAGGTAGTGCAGAACCTTGGGCAACATAACCAGCACCTGTGCATTTCTGTTCTGGATGATGCATTCATTAAAATACTTCAAAATTTCACTTCCATATGGTATTTCAATAAAACCAAAAAATACTACTAATTTTCACTCACTAACCTTTGTCTTGCACCAGTATTTCCAGCTCTTCTCGAATCCCATCATACCAGCTGGTGATGTCCACATGGAGAGAGTAATCACAACAGGATTTGGTGTCAGCTGCCTCATGCCACTTCTCAAAGGAGGTCAGTAAACTCGATCCAGGTTCTGGAAGCACGTGGTCAACTGAAAAAGAGATTCAGTGTCTGTTACCCAGACTGCACACTGTGCAGATTTCCTCAGTGCCTGTAAGTAGCTTTCCAGCATCTCAGCCAAAACAGCAGCCTTGGAGGCAGTTTGTGTGGAGACTGTAACTTTGGGATGCCAGCCAGGTCTTGCTGTCTCAGGTATAGCAGACTTTGTGGACAGTCTATACTAAAGCTGAGTCTGGCAACCTGCTTGGTGCAGCATCAATAGACACACAGTGGGAGAGCCAAACATCTCACAGTTTAGGAAACATTTGGTTTTCCCTTTACCGTTTCGTAAGAGACAACAAGTTCTGGACTTACCTGTATTTATTGTCTGATGTGTCCATTTCTACATATTTCACAGTAAGCATTATTATTTACCACTGCCTTGTAGTCACTGAATTGGCCCACTCTGCCTTACCAATATATCAATGGAGATGCCGAATGCTTTCTCAGCAGCCAGATTTGGGAATATAGCCAAAGGTCTGAACAGAGACGATGTAGAGCACAAACACTCAGCCACACTCTACGGCAGATCGAGCACGCTGCAACTATGCATCTTCACTGTCTCGAGGCTTTCTGCATCTGATGATGCCACAATGTTTACTGAGATCAAATAGAGACATCACTACTTATGCATATATACTTATCTTTGCAGGGCTAGGTCAAAAGTAAGTATGGAAACAAAGCAAGATGGGCTTATCAGTAGCATTTGCAAACCTAATGCTGCACAGGAAGCCTCAACTGAAGAATATACGCTAACAAAAATTATTAACAAAAGTAATGAACAGCAGTGCATTTTGTGCTTATTGCCAGAGATCCTTTCAGCTAATACTTGCTGCTGAACATAGCTAATAGATAACACCACTCAGCAAAAAAAGCCATATTCCAATTCAGCGGGAGTAAAACCCCACTGGGCAGCTCCTCTGCACAAGGAAGCTAAGACCATTTATGCCACCTGAACAACTGCCTCACAAAGTCTAACCAAGGGCCAAGCCACTGCGAGTAGGAAAGAGAGAAACCTTGTCCTGCCATCTGGTAGAGAGAAGAAGGATCTTTAACAACTAGAAATATTTCTCCCTTCCACCAAGAAAGATGTTCCTCCAGCACATCTCTGGTAAGGACTTCCTCAATTCCTGGTGCCAAATCCAAGTTCATAAATAAGCATGTTGTTATTTCCAAAGCCTCTGACATGTCACTAGGTGGGAACAGATTGTCAGATTTTCTGTGCCATATACTTACAGCACTTATTACATTGTTTTTCAAAAATCCCAAGAGTAGGTATATTATCCCTCAGTGCTTGTTCTGTATTTCAGAGGGAAATCCAAGAGACAGTTCCCCATGCTGCTGTTTCTCTCTGAGGGTAGGTTCATTTTCAGGCCAACCCTCAGTGACAATGATGAATGGATCTCCAACACAGTGCCCAGAAATTTGAAGATTCATTGCAGAAGATCTCAGAAAATCAGCATGGAGCCTCCCGTAGCTATCCCCAGATGTGCTACACGAGCTTCAGCTTGGAATGGGAAGAGTTAGTATTGCTAGTACTCACTGATCATGGTGGTGCCCCCTGCTAGCGCTGCTTTTGTGCCTTGATAGAAGTCATCAACAGCAGTCATTCCTTGGTAGGGCTTTTGCAGGTAAGTGTTGACGTCTATTCCCCCAGGAATAACCATGCGCCCATTAGCCTCTATGGTCTTGACTCCTCCAGGAACAATCAGATTCTCTCCTATTTGCCTAGGCAGCAAGGAAAGCCAATATTATTTTACTTAAACAAAGAAGCACAGGGGACAGAAGCTATTTGAGGCCTGTAAGGGAGAGGAACCTAGGGGTCATACAGAAAGAACTGGAACCCCAAAGGAGAGGTGAAGCTCAAACACCCGCTCCGGCCACTCTGCACGGCACTAGCAGAACAAAGCATCCGCGAGCCTGCCTAGCCGGGCCGCATGCTCGGGTTGCTTTGCATTGCTCTAGTGGCCAATAAAGAAGCCGTAATGCACCAGCATTAAAAAATGATTATTTTTTTATGTGATTCCTATCTTTAAACAATTATAAATATGTACAGTTAACGCTGTTTTGGAGGCTCCAGTTTTGTATATTAAGTTCTTAAATGAAAACAGAAAACCATAGATCAAATATGACAACAAGCTGGAATTGTAAATATATGGCAGAAGTACAAGGCACGTCAGAAAGGAGTTATAATTACTTTGTAACCAAGCAATGCAAATTTATCCTTAAAAAGAAACCTAAATATCCTAAGATACAGAAATACATATTTAAGAGACCCAAACACCTTTAATCTACCACATCACATATTCTTCATCCTCCTCTTACAGTTAAAACTTAGTGAAACATTCTGCATAACTGTGTGGAAAAATGTTAATGAACTGTTGCAATCTTTTCCCCTTCAGTTCTTCAAAACAGTTTTGTTTTTTTTTCACTATTAAAAATATTAACCTGTCCCCCATGCTGATAGCAAGCAAACTCCAGACACTTACAATCAAAATACTTTTAGTGTTCATGGACACAACTATGAGTAAATTAACCTTTAACTTTTAAAGCCACATTACATTTTTATTGCCTACTTTGCATGGTGCCAAACAGGAAAATGTACGGGTCTGTGTGGAAGCCATGTCTCTGCATTGCTACGCTGTAATATATTTGGGCTTAGAGATCACTAGAAGGTAGTTTAAGTTCACTTAGTTTATCTCGTATTACAGACACACAGTCCTCGTCTTAATTTCCTTTTGTCTGGGATAAGATAACATTTATCCACAGCTAAACAAATACCCCAGACATCTGAGCTGCTGAATCTGTTTCTCCCATATTAAAAAGCAACTCCCACCTACGGAGCAAAACACAGCAACTGATTAACAGCCAATTGCAACAAGCTAGAACCGAAAATGAATATAACCGTTAATTAAAACCAGTGAAAAAACCAGGGATAATTATTCACACTGGAATTTGGCCAAAACGCCAGAGTTAATAAATAGCCCCAAGAGGTCAAGAATTTGTTTCATATGCTATGCAAAAATGTCACCTCCAGCAGCTTGGCTCCCCCGGTGCTCCGGGTTTTGGCTGGAGGGAAGCATAGCCATTTGGTTAGCAAACTCCCCGCCAGCATCCCGAGCTGGGTCTCAGCCGCTCAGCGCTGAACAAATCCAAAAGGGCTTACTCGTGAGAGCTGATAGTATCACGGCTTGAAGCCATACAACTCTCTGTCTGGCGTCTAATATTCATCAACACGTATAGCACTGGGAGCATGTCATAACCTGTTACAGCTGTGAGGAGTGCTAATGATACCATGACAAACAGGGAATTGATATGTATGCAAAAGCCAGCAGCAGCCCAGCACATCCAAGTGCACAAACAAGCTGCAAGAAGCTTCTCTGCTGTTAAAATCGGACTCGCAAAGGCATACCATAAAGCACTCCAACCCATGAGCACACTGAAAGCTTGTATAAAGTTAGGTAGCCCCACAGATAATAATGGTGTTGCACTAACTTTCATTAGTTGAATCCACTCCCCAGATTTTAATCAGAACAATCCTCAACCTTTGTACAGTGTTTGTGTGGCTAAAAAACTGAACTGGGAAAAGAAAAAAATTACTATGACCAATCTCCTTTAAATATGTCTAAGGTGGAATTGCACTCCAAGAACTACACACTTTATGAAAATAACAATATTAAAGAAAACCTACACAAAAATACAGAAGCAATTCATTTTTAGTTTCTTCCACAATCAGTACCTACCAGTTCCCTGTTCAAGAAAACACATATCCTAATGAAGTGAAAGAGTGCTAAGCACGTACGGAAGTTTTTTGATGACTCATTGCTCATTATTTTCAGTGTACAGTTGAGTTAACAGCTTATTTGGCAATGGCTGAAGTCATCCATGCTGAAGTGACCTGGGACCAAATGGCCTTTGTGGATGATACTACGCTATTACCTGTCAGGAGCCTGTCTCATCTCTTGCCCTGGCATCAAGATTAAGGCTGGGAGAAGGCTGATCTTCACTGGCATTCAAGGTTATTTTTATTCTGACTGACTAGAACACAGAGTAAGAGATAATGTGACAGGATTCCTGAATTGCTCACTTGTTAATGCTAAGTGTATGTTAATAAGAATGGGGTTCAGTTACTTGTGGGTGAAAAAATACAATAGCACAGATAATTGTATTCTAGACACTGTACAAATGATTGAGCTGGTTTTCTGATGCACCAGCAACTAGAAAACTCAGACTCACAGAAAGCTGGTGCTGTCTACCGTCTTCAGTTGAACGGGCTGGTAAATTCTGTCATACATGATCTGATTAAAGCACAATGGAAACAGCAGGTTTCAACTCTTCATAAGCTTAACCTGAGAAAACTGAAAACCTCCCCCAGAACTCAGTGGAGTTATTTCTGTCATTATCAAGCCCAGATCTCTTTCAGGCATCTGATGCTCCCCCTAACTTGGCTCATAGCCTGCCCAGCTCTGGAGACCCTGTCCCCAGCCACTCATCCTGCACACTTGTTAGTCCCCTCCAGCCCAGAGGGACCCAACCCTTCCCCTTGGCAGGGACAGAGCAGAGGACAGCAAGCACTGGATCGTGACCGGCCGCTTGGCATGGAGGCCAAGGCTTACTTCCTCATGTGGAAATGAGAGACAGGATAGATGTAAGCAAAATACATTATTTACATACCAATGGCAATTTAAATTACTAAATATCTAAATTACTATTTAGATACTGGAGAACTGCCTCTCAGCTGCCACCTGAGTGCGCAGGGCTTAAGTTTCAGCTAGGAAAAATCCACATGCACCACTGCTCCCTTGTACCTAGGGAGCCAGTCTGAGCATTGATAGGTAGGAAAAAGCATCTACCATCCTCCAAACTATAGCTAATCTTCAAAGACGTTCAAGGTATATCTACATTCCTCTCTGCAGGACAATCTGCAGGGACATAAACCTTAGAAGACCCTACTTCATTTCATTAGTCAGCAAGAGAAACCCAACACTCTATATTCCACTAGTTTCCACTGCAGAATAAGAAAATTAACCCAGTTCTTTTATATCCTGGCAAAACCAGAACACCATTGCCTATCCTGGGCTAAGTGGTTTGGTGGCTGCTCCATTCTGTGGAAAGAATTCTGTTTTACCAGCAGGACCTGCAGCTGGAGAGTTAGGGCATCAACTGAAAGGCAGATGCCTGAGGTTCAAGGTCCTGCTCCAAAGGATCTTGAGCAACATTTAACAACTATGTTAAATATTTAGACACAATGGGCAGTTCCAGCTGGAGAAACTAAAGAGACCAATCCCAGAAAATACAGTGCTTCCCTAGACTGCAGAATTTATCATCTGAACACAGTTGGGACCCAAGCCCATCTCACACCAGGCTGCCCTCACAAATCAGCTGCTTTTTCAGAGCAGGACTTCTTGCACAGTTTACAAAGAAAAAACTCATGTCATCTAAATCCAGGAAACCAGGCACGACTCAACGAGTCAGGGTGTTGAACAATAAACTTGCTTCCTTAGGCAAAGATAAAGGCATTTTAAAAATTAAGATCTTGTCTGTCTATCCATTATTAATCCTAGCTATCTCGGCCAGCTGCGATACTTTCTGGAGGTAAGGATCCATGCATGGATTTCACAGTGTCATGGTTTAACCTCAGTTGGCAACTGAGCACCACGCAGCCGCTCGCTCACTCCCCCCACGGTGGGATGGGGGAGAGAATTGGAAGGGTGAAAGTGAGAAAACTCGTGTGTTGAGATAAAGACAGTTTAATAGGTAAAGCAAAAGCCGCACATGCAAGCAAAGCAAAACAAGGAATTCATTCACTACTTCCCATCGGCAGGCAGGTGTTCAGC